TCGGCAGCTCGGGCCGGGTCTGCAGGGCCATCCTGCTGCCCAGATCGCTGCTCTTGGCCAGGGTGGACGGTCCCCAGACAGTGACCACGGCTCTCCCGGTGTGTGGTCCCAAATGAGTCCGGCGTGCCCCCTCCCAGTGGGCCCACAGGTGGGGCGGTGGGGGTGGTCATCACCATTCTGGTGTCCCCCTCTGTGCCCCATGCCCCCCTCCCAGCACCCTCTTCTTTCTCTCTTCTTCCCCATCTTCCTCCCCCCCACCCTTTTTTTAAACTTGGGGAGGGGAGAGGGAAGAGACCGTCTTTGATCTCAGTGGAGGAAAAAAAGTCTGTTCTGTTCAGGCTTTTGGCTAACACAACAAACAGTGTTTAAAATTTAACTTTGCTTAATTAATTAGTAATTCTGTTTAATGCTGTCTGATCTCCCTCCAAAAGGTATTTTGAAGCTGGAGAAGGGAACATCAAAGGGAGCTGGGTGAAGATGGTCAAGTAATGCATTTAATCTGGCAGTTGCTGGGGGCGGAGTAATGCCAGGCTGGGCGGACGCGGCAGGGGGGGGGGCGGGGGGGGGGCGGGGGGTGACGTCATCTGGTAAACACAGCCAGCCCGCCCCTCCTCGTGGCCATGCCGTGGTGTGAGGAGGGACGGACCGGGAGCCGTTTCCAGAGAAAAGACCCTCCGCCTGCTGACCCCAGACTTGTCAGAGCTGAGAGTGGGTTCCAGGGCAGCGGAGTTGGCGCTTCCTGTCTCCGCGGCCACGTGGTCTGGTGGGCGGGCTGCGGGCTGCGTCAGGGTTCCCCGCCAAGCAGGTGAGCAGCGGGCGAGACCCCCGCCTGCACCCTGCTGATCAGGGCGCCCCGGCGGGGGTGAAGGCTGCGTGTCCTAAGGGCCAGGAGAGGACCCATGGTGGGCTCCATGGACCGTGGACTGGACTGTGTCCCAATAAAACTTTATTTACAAGAACAGGCAGTGGGCGGGCTTTGGCTCCCGGGGGTGTGGTTTGCCAGTCCTGCTCTGTGGTCACCCACAGGTTCTCCAGAGGCAATGACAGGCTTTGCTCTTCTCCTGCTCTGTCCCTTCTCTTCCTTTTCCTCCTACTTTTCCATGCTACCCTTTCCTCTTTCCAATGAGCAGTATCTCCTGTTGCTGCTGTGACTCGTCATGGAGTCCCCCTGAGATCACACCCCCACAGGTCACCTCTGGGAAAACAGCCGCTGGGCTGAACGGGAGGCAGAGACAGCAGGGGCTCGGGATCTGACCCCGCAGCCCATCTCAGAGCAGTGTGGCTCTCTCCGCTGAGGTTGGAACGGTGGAGGGAGGGAGGGAGAGATGGACGTATGGATGAGCGGACAGATAGACATTTGGATGGAGGGAGGGAGGGGTAGATAGGGGAGAGAGGGAGGGAGGGATGGATGGACTGACAGGTGGGCGGATGGACAGACGGAAGGAAGGAGGGAGGGATGAGTGGATGGATGGACGGACTGGTGGATGGAGGGGAGGAGGGAGGGATGGACGGGTGGATGGACGGACGGATGGGTGGATGCATGGTGAGGGGTGATTTGTTCTGCACGGGGACGAGTGTGGGCAGGTGGTGGTTTGGTGGTGTTTGGTTCCAGAGGGTCCGTGTGGATGCAGAGGCTTGGCCCCCGAGTCCCGGCCCCTGATTCTGGCAGGGGGTCTGCAAGGCTGTCTGATCAGTCCTTTGATGCATCCTCTGGCCACTGGGCAGGGGACAGGGGGAGGGGGAAAGGCCGGCCACCTTCGGTAGGGCTGGGGGTGCTGATCATCCTCATTTCCGGCCCCCAGGGCCCCAGGACGGAACGGCTCCCAGTCCTGCTACCCATCTGTGAAGGCCCCCCCCACCATGGGTGTCCGGGTGGTCTTCTGAGCTGGGGTGGGATGAGGGATCTGCTGGTGGAGGAAGGACAATCTGGGCCACCGTGGTCTCCAGAAAAGACATGGGAAAGGGTGGGGGTGAGGGGCGTCCTTTCCTCCCTGGGAGAGGAGAAAGGAAGGGAGGTGGGGGGGGGGGGCGCCTGGCAGAGGACCGGCCGTCTCTGTTCGGTGGGCAGGAGGAGGCTCCGGGAAGGAGGGAGCAGGGACAGAGGTTTCTTTCCTTTGGGTTTTATCAAGTGGAACTTGAAAGGCAACATTGAACCTGAAGGTGGTTTTCTGATAACTTCCCTTTGAACTTGGAGTTTGGTTTCGATAAGCCTGGCCGGCTTACATCTCCAGCCAGGACCTCTGCTGAGGGAGGCAGCGGCTTTGAAGATGGAGCTGGCCTTTGTTTTTGTTTCTTCTTTCTTTCCTCTGCAACCCCCCGCCCGCGCTCCGGGGCGGTTGTGGGGGGCGGTGGGAGTGCATGGGGGATGTGGCGGTTTGTGATAGCGAGGTGTGTCGTCTCCTGGGGTGGGGCCGCGCTGGGGTGCGGGGATCATTTGGATCGGGGCTGTTGGCTGGGGCCATGGCTCATCTCCATTGGTTGCCAAGCCAGCATTTAGTGAGCACTTACTGCATGCAGGCCACTGTACTCAGTAGGCACTTTCCTCAACGTCCCCTCCCCCCAACGGCCCTGTGCGGGAGAGCCTGCTTCATCCCCATGTTACAGATGAGGAGACTGAGGCCCAGGGGAGTCAGGTTCCCCCTGGTCCCGGCTCCCCCAGGAGGGCAGATACTTTGTGGTGGAGTCGGGATGTGAGTCCGAATGTGGCCCGTCCACCCGAACCCTCCTGCTGAGCTCAGCTGCACCCGTCGGAGACGCTGGGCGCTTCCGGGGCTCAGAGCTGCACCCTTCGGAGATGATGGGTGTTCCCGGGGCTCGGAGCTTCTCCCAGTGCTGGGGATGGGGCCACACACTCTCCGATTTCTCAGACGAGGCTCTCAACTTCCTTCCCTTCTTTTAAACGGGTGTGACCGTAATGTCTGCTCCTTTGTGGCCTGGCAGGTGTGGCACTGTCCCAGCGTGGTGGCAGCTGTGGTCCGGCAGGCCACCAGTGGATTTGGGCTGGAGGAGTCAGGGTGGCTCAGGCCCTAGGCTGGGCTGGCCTGGGGTCACGGGCCAGTGGCCCACCTGACTTCCCCGGGCTCACCGTGACCCTGGAGGGGGACACCTCCCGGCCGTTGAGGAGCAGCAGGGAGGAAAGGACTTGGCTGGACTCACTGCCCCAGAAGCGGTCAGTGGCCATCCCTGACGACTCCCGTGGTGAGGATGCCCAGTGTCCCCGTGCTGGGGTCACAGCCGAGCCCCAACAGCTCTAGGGAGTTGCCACCTTGCTGGGGGGTGGACATCGTGGGCTGGGGGCTCCCTGCATCTTGCCGGCTGTTCAGGGCAGGAAGGAGGCACCCGGGCATGGCCGTTCTGGTCCCCAGGCCCAGCTGGGGTTGCGGGGAGGGGTAGCTGTGGCCAGAGCCTGTCCTGTCAGTTGTCGTGGTGGCCTTCCGGTCCTCGCTTGTCTGGGCTGGTGACCCAGAGCATCCTTATCTTCAGCCCCTCCCTCCCTGCCCTGTTCCCAACCCTGGGCTGCCTGCTTTTGAAATGATACTTTTGTGTCCTTCTTTCTGTATTTTGAGAAAACGTAGCTACCAACTGTGCCGACTCCCTACAGATTCTGTGGGGAGGGGACGTTGCCCCTGACTAATGGTGGGGACCCGGCGTCAGGGCCCTGGGCTCTGTCACAGCATGTTCCGTCCACACAAGAACCCCCCGGGGGAGGGGACTGTTGTCCCCCTTTTACAGCTGCAGAAGCAGCCATCCAGTGCGGCTGCGTGATCTGCCCTGGGCCTCCCGTTGTGTCGGGGGCTCAGGACCCAAGCGGAGAGAGTCCCTCTGCCCAGGTTGGCCGGGAACGGCACAGCGGGGTGCCTAGCACAAGCCAAGCTCCCTGGGTTCAAATCCCAGCCCCGTCATGTACTAGCAAAACACTTACCCTCTCCATGCCTCCGTTTCCCCCTCTGGAAAGCAGAGCTAATAATAGTCGTCACCTCCCAGGGTAGCGGCCAGGACTGAGGAGTCCGTGGACAGCCAGTGTGGAGTCAGCGCAGTGTCGGGCGTGAGAGGTGACGCAGGACCGCAGAGTCACTGCCCCAGGCAGCTGAGTATCTGCTCAGACGGACGAGGGCCAGGAGCCGTCCCTCCTAGGAAAGCCCATTCCCAGGCAGACCCGCCTCCCCTTCTGCAGGCAGAGGCAGGGCTGACGTTTGGTTTGCAGATTTGAAGACCCTCGTAGGCCAGGGCGCAGGTCGGGGCGAGGACAGCCACCCTGGGCTGCCCTCCTGGCATCCTTGGGGGAGTCCATGGGGAAATAGGGTGCACAGGTCATGGGTGCTGATGCCCGCCCTCCTCCCCGCTCCTAGAAGGACACACAACGGACTGTGACCTTGGGCAGGGGGCTGACCCCCAGGGTGGACAGAGGCTGAGTGAAGAGCACAGGGTCAGCTTTCTCCTGGAGACAACGCCTGCCTGCGTGCACGCGTGTTCTCACGTGCGCGTGCCGGTATGCACACGCGCCCTTCCCTTCACCAGCCCTGTCGAACGGACTGTGTTCTGTCACTCGTCCTGACCGCCCCCCAGTGGGCGCTGTGCCCGGCCCGGGTGGGTGGCACCCTGGAGGAGACCGGTGTCAGCCTGGAAGGCAGTGGGGCTGCGGCCATGCAGTCATGGTTCTGGGGCTCCGAAGTCAGCCCTGCCCCTTGCCCTGGCCTGTACCGTTGTGGGGGCTCAGTCTGCCCAAGTGGGCTTCAGGTCGGGGCAGAGACCACAGCAGAGGCCTGAGAGGCCCTTGGGGGTGATCTGGGTGGCCGCATGGGCACACCCAGGATGGGGGTCCCCCTGGAGCAGCCTGGACAGCCCCCGAGGGCAAGGCGACGCTGACCTCAGCAGTGAGCAGGGCGGGAAGGGGCCCCGGCCCCCCAAGGTCCTCCGCTCCGGCCGAAGCAGAGCCACAGTGCTGGGCGCCTGCTGGGGCCGGGGCCTCTCTCACGCGCCCTCCCCGCCTCCGCCCACAGTGGCCCTGCCTCCCGAGAAGACCGACGGGCTGGCCAGCGGAGATGAGAAGAGGATGGAGAAGCCGAGTGAGTCCTGCCCGGGCTCCAAGAAGCAGCTGAAGTTCGAGGTGAGTTTCCCTGCGGCAGCTCCCGGGGGCCTTGTCAGCAGAGCTGGGCGGGCTGTGTGGGCATGCACGTGTGTGAGCGTGTGTGGGTGCTTGTGTGGGCACACGTGTGCATGCGTGTGTGTGTAGACGTGTGTGCGGGGGAGCTCCTAGTCTTTGGCTCAAGCTCAGGCTGAGGCCACAGAGCCCCTCGCAGACCCCTCCTGTCATGTCCCCTCTGCCCGAGAGGACTGGGAGTCTGTGGCCCCGTGCAGGCCCCTCTGCCGGGCCAGACCGCCCGGCTCAGCCTGGCCTCTCTCCCTGGCCGGTCATTACCTGGCAGTGGGGAGGTGGTGGCCCCACGACCTGGCCTGCAGGTGTCCTAGCCAGCCCCTGGCTGACCGGTTGTGCCTGTGTGTCTTTTGTCTGTGTCCAGGAGCTACAGTGTGACGTGTCCGTGGAGGAGGACAGCCGGCAGGAGTGGACCTTCACACTGTATGACTTTGACAACAATGGAAAGGTCACTCGCGAGGTGAGTGCACCTGCCTGGCCCCGGCCGCTGGCCGTGTCCTGGGCCCAGGGGCGTTGGTTGTGCGCCTGGCTGCTGCCTGCACCTCCCCCCCGCCCCCCGCATAGGGGGCCTGCCCCTAAGTGCGAACAGGGCCCAGAGTGGGGCAGGGTGCGGGTGTGGTGGAACAAGGCTTCCGGGAGCTTCCGCTGGAGCTGGAGGGGTGTGCCAGGACTGCCTGGCAGGTGGGGAGAGGTGACCGAGAGGAGGGGCTCTGGGACCCCAGCGGAGTCTTGTGCGGCTTCCTCCTCTGTGGCCTGGAGCTCTGGGTGCGCTGGGAGCACCCGGGCCACGTCCCCCACGGCCTGTCGGCCCAGGAGCCGGGGCAGGTGGGCACACAGAGACCCCGCCCCAAGGCCCTGCAGCACCCCTGCTCAGGGCCTGTCCTCTCCCCACCCCCGCAGTGCTCTGGGTCTCTCTCCCACACCCCTCCCCTCCCTGTGTTCCTCTGCCCTCCCTCCGTGCCTGTGTCTGCATCCTGAGTGCCTACTGTGTGCATCTGCCACACACTGGGCATGCGGCCACAGCGGGATCCGGGCTGGCAGTCCCTAGCCTGTGGCTCTGCCTGTCAGACGAGGTGGGCAGATCCCCACCAATTAGAGGAAGATTATAAGGCGTGACCTGTCCAGCGAGGAAATAACAGAGTGGCGTCGCAGGCACGGGCGGGGTGTCCGGGGCAGCCTCGGGGAGGAGAGGAGGAGGAGGGGACAGGGGGGCCGAGCCATGTAGTGTGCCAGGCTAGGGACACTGGTGCTGTGGCCACGTCTGGGGAGAGGCGTGGCTGCAGCCCGGGAGCCGGCGGGGCGGGGCACGGGGCGGGGCCAGAGGCTGTGGGCGCAGGTGCGGCGGAACCCTGGAGGGTCCGTGGAGGCGGGGTGAGACTGGAGTGACTGCAGAGGAGCGCTGCCTCCCCGGTGCTCTGGGCCCCGGGCCCGTCCCTTTTGCCGGGTCTGTGTTCCTGTTCCGTCCTGCTCGGCTCTGACGCCCTCTCCCTCCGCAGGGGGCCCGGTGGTCGGCTGTGGGATGGCCGCAGATTCAGGGATGGGCCCGGCTGGCTCCTCCACCCCCCCGCCCCCGGCACGTCTGAGTGTCAGGCCCGTTCGCCGAGAGCGCTGGCGCTCCGCCGTCTCACCGGCCTGCCCCATTTGTTCGGGGCTAGGCCTCTTCTGCTCTGCGGGTGGGGGTGGTGCGGGAGCCGCCTCCTGAGTGGGGCAAGGCCACACCCCTTTCTCCCTGAGGCTATGGTTTCGGGGATGCGGGAACTGGGAGGGGAGGCGGCTCTGGGTGGCTTTGGGGCGTGAGGGACAGAATCCCGGCACAGGTTGTCACCGAGAGGGGTGTGCCGGCTCTCGGCCGGGAGGCAGGTCCCGGGGCGCTGACCTCAGGCACCCTGCGCCCCGAGACTCAGTGTCTTCATGCTCACCATGGACCCGTTTCCTCTGCGTCCCCTTATTGTCAGACAGGCTTTGGCAGTCTCGGGATGACAGCTGCCAGTTTTAACCGACACCCTGTCCCGCCAGCGGGTCCCCAAGTTCAGACTGGCAGCAGACGTGCCGGGACCAATCTGCACCGGCCCCAGTGGAGTCACGTGTCTGGCCCCGAACCAGTCATTTCTGTCTGCCGTGGGTTCTGACCCTCCCAGCGGCTGATTCGGGGTCCACGTGCCGACTTCCCACTCAGGAGAAAGCACCTGTTCACCATCACACGTTAACCGGTGCACCACGCCAGCCCCCCCGGCACCTGTGCCCGTGCCCACAGCGCTGACTTCCCAGCTGGCCGTGGCCGAGGTCTGCTCGCTCCGACACCCGAATAAGCTGGGACCCTCCGGGGTCACCCACGAGGGCTCCAGGCCTGGTGTGCAATGCCTGATGATGGTGGGCCTCAGCTTCCCGATCTGTGAAATGGAGACGATGATGACGACATCTCCTTCGTGGGCGTTCTGAGACGGGGTGGGGCGGGGGGGGGTGGGCAGGCGTGGCTGGGCAGAGCCGCTCCAGCAAGGACGGGAGAAGAGGGAGGAGGAGTCCTCTGTGGTCCCCCCAGAGGAGGTGGGGTCACCAAGCAAGTGGGCGAGTCAGGGACTTGAGCCTGGGTCTCCAACTGGCAGCCCCCACACTCCCAGCCTCGCCCCGCCCCTGTAGGGTTTTGTTAAGAATTAAATTAGCGCAGGCAACAGGAGTAAAGGTAGGCGAGTGGGACTACGCCAGAATTTAACACACCCGTGCGTGGAAGGACGCAGCCAACAGAGTGGGCAGAAATGTGGGCAAACCATCTGCCGGATAAGGGGATAACATCCAGAAAACAGCGTATAGCGAACTCCTAAAACTCAACATAAAAAAAAGTAATTTGATCAAAAAATGGGCAAAGGACTTGAATAGACATTTCTGCAAAGAAGATACACAAATGGCCCATAGACACATAAAAGACGCTCAGCATCACTGACCGTGGGAGAAACGCAAGTCAGAACCACCCCGAGACCCGCCTCCCCCGCCTCGCTGTCGGTGAGATGGGCGCTGCACAGACCAGCGGGCAATGACAGGCGGAGGTGGCGAGCCCGGGACCCTCGCGCGTGCGTGTGTGCGGGCGGGGACGTCCGGTGGTGCAGCTGCTGCAGAAAACCACGATTCCACGTGGAACCAGGCGATTCCATGTCTTGGTATACATCCCCCCCGCATCAAGAGAAGGGTCTCCAAGAGCTACTTACACACCCACGTTCATGGCAGCGTTATTTACCATGGCCCCAAAGTGGAGGGCCACCCAAGTGTCCGTCAGCAGGTGCGTGGGTAAAGCAGATGTGGTCCACGCAGATGATGGAATAGCATCCAGCCTTAAAGAGGAAGGAGATCCTGCCACATGCTACGTCATGACGATACCTTGGGGACACGGTGCTGAGTGGTGGAAGCCAGTCACAGAGGGACATGTCCTGTATGGTTGCGCGTCTACGGGGCACCTGGAGTAGTCAGTCACAGAGATGGGAGGTCGAACGGTGGTTGCCAAGGGCTGGGGATGAGGGGAATGGCGAATTGAAAAGACAAAGTAGACCCTGGCTGGTGCGGCTCAGTGGATTGAGCAACGGCCTGTGAACCAAAGGGTCGTTGGTTCGATTCCCAGTCAGGGCACATGCCTGGGTTGCAGGCCCAATCCCCAGTAGAGGGCGCAGGAGAGGCAACCACACATTGATGTTCCTCTCCCTCTCTTTCTCCCTCCCTTCTTCTCTCTCTAAAAATAAACAAATAAAATCTTAAAAAAGAAAAGACAAATTAGTTGCTAGTATCCAGGGTTCTGAAGATTTAACAGGAGCTGGACCCAGGCTCTCTGAGAAGCCCCTGCATTGTCATCAGTCAAGTGGCTGCCGCCTGCGGGGGGCGGGGCCAGTGCCCACGCCTGCCGGGCAGGCCAAGGCAGAGCTTGGTGTCAGCCCTGCCCTGTGGCGGGGCGGGGGGTGAAGGGAGGGACAAGTCTGCGCTCAGGTAGTAGGGTCGCTGGGCAGACAGCTGGCCCATAATGTGGCCGTGACCTGGGAACGGCCAGTCCTTTTCCCAGAAGTTCCCAGCATCACATCAGGCAGGAAGCTGCCCCTCAGACCCCGACCTTACAGGGGCCCAGAGCACAGAAAGGCCTACTGAGGGGGCCTGGTCCACCCCTCCCGTCCCCCGGGGGAGAGTCTCTGGGGGGCTCGTGGAGCAGGGACTGGAGACCACTGCCCGGTTGAGGGCTCCCCAAGGCCCGGAGAGAAGATGAGGTTTGGTCTGCTCAGTGTCCCCCTGCCTGTACCCCTGGCGTGCCTCTAAGCTCCCCTGCTGCCTTGTGCTCTGTGGGGACAGCGCCCCCCACTGGAGCGTCCTCTGGTGCCGGGAAGGCGGCTGGGCCTGCAGTGGACGGCCCAGAGGTCTGGGGCACGGCGACCCCAGGGCAGCTCCTGACTTGGGGTGAGACTTTCTCCAGGCCGGTTCCACCCAGTCTCCCCCAGGGGCTCTGGTGTGCCTGAGCAGGTGGGCTCCGGCTGTGATTTGCTCAGCTAGGTTTTCCGAGGTCTCCCCGCCCTTCCCTCCCCCTGCTCCTAGGGCCCCTCCCACACAAACCCCCACCCCCACATCGCTGCCTGAGGCTCAGCTTTGGGGAGCCCCAGGCGCTCAGCGTTTGGGGTTCGGTAGGCCCTCTGCTTCCCGCTGGAAAGGCGCCGCGGCTGAAGCCCGTGTGGTGTCTGCTCCCCGCCCCGCCCCGCCCCCAGGACATCACCAGCCTGCTGCACACCATCTACGAGGTGGTCGACTCCTCCGTGAACCACTCCCCGACGTCCAGCAAGACGCTGCGCGTGAAGCTGACCGTGGCCCCCGATGGGAGCCAGGGCAAGAAGAGCATCCTTCTCAACCATCCCGGTGAGGGGCGGGGGCGGTGGGGGTCCCAGGGGCATGCGCTGGGAGCTGCCTGGTGGCCAGGCAGGGTTGGAGCCGGTCTGGCAGGGGTGGGGTTTAGACAGGGAAGGGATCGGAATGGAAGGCCCCTGAGTCAGCAAAGCACGGGGCCGGGCCTGTGTGCCGGGCCTATGTGCGGCAGGCAGCCACCACAGAGGCCTGGATCGTGATGGGGGTGGGTGGCCGGGGCCTTGAAGCCCGGCCGAGGGGTACGGAGAGGAGGTCAGCAGGACAGGGTGCTGGGAGACCCCTCTGGCAGGCCTGGCGCTGAGGACTCCGGCCACAGAGCCATGAGGAGGCAGCTGCGAGAGCCTGCTTTCTAAGGGGCCAGGCAGCTTGGAAAACCTGGGCGCGGCCAGGAGGCCGGCGGGCGTGGGGTCGGGCCGCGTGTCACCGGGCTGTCTCTGGGGCGGGCCTCAGACCTGCAGACCACCAGGCCCAGAGCGGAAACCAAGCCCGCGGAGGAGCTGCGCAGCTGGGAGAAGAAGCAGCGAGCCCCGCTCAGGTACAGCGGGCAAGCGCGGGCGGAGGGGCAGCCTCCGCCCCGGGGATGCGCCTGCGCAGTGGGGGCCAGAGGGGCGGACCCGGGCGGGCGGCCCCCATCTGTGCTGTCTTCGGGGGGCGGTGGTTTGTAGGCAGGCGCCCAGACTCCAGCTTTTTTTAAATCACTAAGGATGGGTCTGCGTTTGCTGGGTTTGCAGAGAGGCTCGCCGTGTGTTTCTCGTGTGTTCTGTGTGGGGTCTGGGCGCTCCGCAGTGCCCGGTGTCTGCAGGGAGACGCACGCACGTTCGCACTGAGTATGACACGGAGACTCGGGCGGTCTCATCGCTTAGGGCGCTGTTCAGAATGGGTCAGGAGGAACCTCTGTTTCCAGGCTTTGGGGACTGCAGCGTTGTGGATGAGCCGGCAGCCCCGGCTCACCCCGTGCTATTTCCTTAACTTCAAGGAAGGGAGGGAGGGTGGGAGGGAGAGAAAGACTGTTTTTAAAAAGGCCTCCGGTGCAGAGTGATACAAAGTAACGGTGCTGGCTGAGACCAGGCTGTGGAAGGAGAAGTCTGGGTTTTGAGAAGCAGCCGCACAGGGCCCGAGAGAAGGGGGATGCAGGGGCGCGGCGTGATTCGGGCAGGCGGCTCCCAATTGGAGGTGCCCAGGCTGGCTGCAGGTGCGGGGTCTGTGCTGGGGGGCAGGGGGGCAGGGAGTGGGGCGCAGGCAGATCACGGAGGCCCTGCCAGGGGAGGGACAGGGAACCCAGAATCCTCCTCTCCCCTGTCCTCTCCCCCCAGAGGAAGGGTCCACTCTGGGTTTTGGGGCAGGAAAAGGAGTCCACCAGCCTCAGGGCGAATGCCCTGGGGGCTTCTGCTGCCCACAGCGCCTGGGGAACCAGGCAGGAGTGGCGGGCACGTGACCCTAAGCCTGGCTTTGGGACATCCTTAAGCTTTGGTCAGTAACCCTTGTGCCTTGCTTCGGGTCTGTTGAAAGCAAAGCCCCTCTCCGGCCCTCCCAGAAGGCCCAGGGGGGCCAGGCGGGCGTCCGTCTCCACTGGCAGGGAGCAGTGGAAGGAGCTGCCCCACCCCAGGGGGCCAGGGCCCACCCCCTCACTGCCTGGTTCCCGCCGCAGGTTCCAGGGAGACAGCCGGCTGGAGCAGTCTGGCTGCCAGCACCACTGCGTGGACGAGAACATTGAGAGGAGAAACCACTACTTGGATCTCGCCGGGATAGAGAACTACACGTCCCAGTTTGGGCCTGGTGAGGCGGGGCGAGGGCCGGGGGGCGGGGGGGGGGCCTGGGCCGGCAGGTGGGTCGGGCGGGCAGTGGTCACCGTCCCCCCCTGGGCTGGGGGATGGCACGGCATGGATGGGACAAGGTTACAGATGTTAGCGTGGAGGTGGTGACATGAAAAGCATTAAAAATATGGAAGTGCTGTAACTAACGCACAAAATAAACCCAATCAACCAGCGTCTGAGGGCCTATAACACGGTGGAAACTGACAGCCCCGTGCCACACCCCAGCCTGCCCTCCCCTGCCCCTGTCTCTCGGCTGTTTCCCCCAGGGGGACCCCTGCTTCACTCAGCAAATCGCTGCCCTGCCTTCCTCCGCTCCGGCATCTTAGCTCTCACCAAGCTCAGTGAACACGGAGCTCCTGGAAGTCCGCCCAGCTCCCCTCCCCTCTCCTCCCCTCCCCTCCCCTCCGAGGGCCCCTTCCCCTGCGGGCTGCCCCTGCTTACCCATTAGAGCTGTGCCTGCGGGCACCTTCCTGCCTCGGTCATCAGCCTTTGTCTTCTGCTCTTTCGCAACTCTGTCTAGGAAGGAGAATTATGTTTAAAGCCCTAGCAAAGGAATAGTTCTTCCCACTTAGCAGATGGCCAAGGTCCATTCCAGAGTGGTCTCATCTGAGGACTGGGGGAGGCGGGGAGGGGGCGGCCGGGAGCTAGGGGTGCGCTCTGAGGAAGCACAACTGGCCTCTGCGAGCCCCAGGGAGCCGGCACCCTGCGGTTCCCAGGGCTTGGGCAGCACGGCTGACGGTAGGTGCCCGTCAACTCTCCGTTGCTTGGTTCCTAGGCTCCCCATCCTCGGCCCAGAAGTCCGAACTGCACCCCCGCACCTCCAACCCCACGCGGTCCCGCTCCCATGAGCCAGAAGCCGTCCATGCCCCACACCGAAAGCCCCCAGGCGCGGACCCGGGCTCCTCCCACGGCCCCGACACCCCCTTCGCCAAGGTCTCGGAGGCCCAGCAGCGACTCCGGGGTGCCCAGGACGGGAGCAAGCACTTTGTGAGGTCCCCCAAGGCCCAGGGCAAGAGCATGGGTGTGGGCCACGGGGCCAGAGGGGCAAGAAGCAAACCCCCTCTGGGACCCACGGTCCCCTCGGCGTCCCCATCCACCCACCTGGCCGCCGGTGCAGCCGTCCTCCCCACCCTGGCCCCCCTCGGCCACAAGAAGCACAAGCACCGAGCCAAGGAGAGCCAGCCAGGGGGCCGGGGCCTGCAGGGGCCACTGGCCTTGGGCGGCGCCCTGGTGGGGCGGGACCAGGGGAGGGAGCTGCCCGCCGTGGTGGTGTACGACGGCCCGGCCGGCCAGGCGGTCCAGAGACACGAGCATCGCCACCACCACGAGCACCACCACCACCACCACCACTTCTACCAGACCTAGGCCCACTGCGCCCCGCCCGCCCCAGCATTCGTATTCTATTAATTATTGTTATTATGACGAGTATTGTTATTAATAATTATTGTTACTCCACTAATATTCCGCTAGGCTCCATGTAGAAGATCTATGGAAACACAGACGTCAACTTTTATTTATAAGTGTGGGGACTGCGTGCGTGACTCCCCCAGGGAGCGGCTCTGAGCGCGGCAGAGGCTCCCTCGGGTCCCGGCTGTGGTTCCCACCCAGGCCCCCACCCTCCCCAGCCCCTCCCCGCTCCCGGATCCCCTCGGCCAGACTCCGCCCCACCCCCCATCTCTTCCAGAGACCCTCGAAATCTCCGAGAAGATAAACAGCTGCTACCTCTTAGTGTTATTCTGATTTTGTTTTGCCGTTAACCGACGGTACCATGCTCCGAGGATTTCGGCGGACTGTGGCCGCGCCACCTCCCCGGCTGCTGTGTTCTCACGCCCTGACCTGGGACCACCCTTAGCTGTCCTCTCTGGAGTTCTCCTCCATGCCTTTCCAGGGGGGTCGTGCCCTCGCCCCGGCGGGTCCCTCTTTCCCGCTGCACACCACGTGAACGTACACTTCTCCTTCCCCTCCTCCTCCTCGCTTCCGTAGAAAGATACACACACCACTTCTAAAGACTGCCCCTGAAACCAGACTTCTCACGGGGGAAGCCTCCGCGGAGGCCCCCAGCCCCACGGACCAGCGGGGGTTTCCCGGGTCGGGCAGTGGGGTGCTGCCGGTTGTGCTGGCGGAAGGCGGGGAAGCCTGAGTCCTGCCCTCGGCGAATCTGGGCGTCCCGACGGGGCTCTGGGACAGCGCTCGGTCTCTGTCGCTCGCTGCCATCTGTCTGTTTCTATGTATCTTTCTATAAACACACACTCTCAGGTACCTTTGCGCGTGCGCACCAGTCGGTGTTTGCTTCCGTGGACGGCTTCCGAGCCCAGCGCTGCCTGCCGCCTGCCGCCTGCCGCCTGCGTGCTTTCTGCGGCTCGGCCTCCCGGCTGCGTCCCCTGTTCCAGAGCCTCTGCTTTGGGTTCAGTGTGGTTGGTGAGGGGTTATTTGTAAAGATAGTGGGCTTAGTTGTTGTCACCCTATTGTTGGATTGGGGGCAGTGTGCCTGGGACTGGATGAATACATTTAATCCTCAGGACCACCCTACGAGGCAGCCAGGGGAAGCTCAGGAGGCACGTCAGGCTCAGAGAGGTTGAGTTACTTGCTTGAGATCACACAGCAGATGGCAGAGCTGGGATTCTCGTCTTCCCTGTGGCCCCTTAACCACTGAATGTTAACCACTGTGTCTGGACTCCTGACACCCAGCTGATGGGAATGTAGCCGAGGGAGGGAGGGAGGGGGGACGCCCCCACCCCAGCGTGCTTTGCGTGGTGTTGGGGCTGCTGGCCCTCTGGACCACACCACCAAGTGGGAGAGGACCTTGCACTAGGGGACCAGGGGGAGATACTGATGGGCTGGGCTCGGGGCCAGTACTGATCTCTGGGCCAATCACTGTGGCCCAGTGGGGTCACCCAGCCAACCTGTGGCAAGGGAGGAGGTCTGCGCCAGGGAGGGAGGGAGGAGAGGTGCTGAGCAGAGGGGAGCTGTGGGCGCCCCAGGCCCAGCGTGGCTGCAGCCATGGAAACGAACCCGGAAGTGGGTCCACGCAGGGAGCTCTCTGTGGCCTGGTGGCTCCTGAGCGTTTGTTTCCGCAGCCTCCGGCGGGAGACCCTCCCAGCTCCCCCACCCCCGGCTGTCAGGGTTCTGTTTCACGCTGACGGGGATTTGTTTTAGGAATTTTTGAAAACAGCAATGTGCACGTGTAAAAGATTCAAATATTGGGTTGGCCAAAAGGTTTAATTTTTTCCCCTCCGTAAAATAAAAGACACGTTTTTCATTTTCACCAATAGCTTTATTGACTGGGATATGTGGAGTATGTTGGCTGTCTCCCGCTCTTGGCTGCTAGTGGTAGAGGCTGGGGGTGCTGCTGAACATCCTCCTAAGGTGGTGCCTAAGACGGCCCCCAGCAAAGGGTTATTTGGCCAGAACGTCAAGAGTGCCGAGACACTTCGCAAACCGCTTTTGACACATTCGATTGGTCACAGCACCTTCCCCATACACTGCACAAATCTTTTTTTTTTTTTTTTTTTTGCATTTCGGTTATGTTTTTACCTTTCTGGAAGAAGTAAAGCATCATCTGCCGGCAATGTTGTGTATTTTCTTCCATCTTCAGTGTTAAAACGGCTGCACAAAAACTCACCAATGTTGATGCTTTTTAAAAATAATGCACGCTTGATAGGACAGCTGTCACAATACAATCTAACAAAACTTTCTCACTGAATGGAGTTGGAGACAACTAAGTGCTCCTAGAGCCACCGCACAGGAAAAAACCGAACGGACTTTTTGGCCAACCCCCTAGTACAGAGAGGTGCGCAGGGAGAAGTGCTCCCTCCCGGAGCACCTGCCAGGGCCGCTCAGTGAGGCCCCAGGGGCTTGGGTTCAGATCCCAACGGCCTCTCTCAGCGCTCTGCGATGCTGTACCCTGTCCCTCCACAGCCTCAGTGTCTCCTTGATCAAGGGGGTCCTCAGAGACTCACTCCCCACCCCACCCCCCGACTCACGGTGAAAATTCAGCGAGCTAAATGACCCTTGGGAGCGCGTCCTCAGTGTTAGCTGCCGTTATTTACAAGAATAAATGCATTTATATAAGCTATCTCCCCATTTACATTTGTTCATTTTTAAAAAGACGGTTTTTTTCCAGAGCAGTTTTAGGTTTGCAACCCCATGGAGAGGAAGGCGCAGAGACTCCCCATACCCCCCCCGCCCCTACGCCCACATTGCCTGCCCCGTTATCATCCGAGTGGTGCATTTTTTTTTTTTTACCCAGAATGCACCTGAACGGACCCAGCATAGTTGCCCAAGCCCAGGGGGTCGCCTTGGGGTTCACACTCGGGTGGTGCATTCCGTGGGTCTGAACGAATGGGGGACGACGTGACGCGTCCACCCTTGTAGGACAGAGAATTTCCACCAGATGCGAGACGTCCTCTGGACGCTGCCTGTTCGCCTCTCCCTCACCCCCCATATGGTTCACTTAAACAACTGTTTCAAATAACGCAGTTTCAAACAGAAGAGCGCGTACCAGGAACTGCGGGCTCCCCCAGATGGTACACACGCTGACATTTCGCAGTATTTATTTCTGATCTATTTTGAAGAAAGAAAACAGTGCCGTCGCTGCCTAATCCACCTCCCGCCCCACCCTCTTATTTTTACCCGGCGAGCGGCATAGTCTTCATACTCAGGCCCCTGCTTTGCTCTGCGACCTCCTGTCTTCGGAGATCGGCCTCCCTGGGTCTGGGGGCTCTGCCCCCTTCTCTCTGACAGCTGCTCAGGCTCCTGCGGCTCTCGGCTGCCCCTCCCCCCCCCGCAGGCACGGTGGGGGGCTCCCCCGAGGCCGTGGCAGGGCCTGGGTGCTTGGCGACCACCAGCGGGAGACGGGGCAGCCACGCAGCGCTGCCGGCTCCAGAGCACGCGCGATTTCGGTTTTGATGCTCTTCGAAATGACCTCTGGAAGCAGCCGTGCCAAGTAATTAGAAGTGGAAGGAAGAAGAGAGAGAGAAGCGGGGGGGAGGGCTGGGGTGGGGGTGACGGCAAGGCGTCAGCCGCGCTCCCTGGTGAGGCTTCCGGCCCACTTTTTGGCAGCGGGGGCGGATGAGTTCTGTCCAGTTTGCAAATCTGCCGGCCCCCAAGCCAGCGGCAGCCCCTGAGCTCGGCTCGCCCCACTCATCTGGGGCGCAGAGGTCGTGGGGGGGGGCTGGACTCCGGCCCCACGCCCACCTGCACACGAACGCTAGCTGGCGCCCAGCTGCCCCTTTCCGCCGACCTGTCACTGGGCCCTGAGGACGCCTGGCGTGTGGTCTGCAGCTCCCTCGGCCCACCCGCCTCTGCTGGGGGAGTGGAAGGGTGCACTTCCCACCCAGCCACTCCAATGACATTTTGGGGCACAGGAAACAGCCGGGAGCAGTTTCTTTTGCACCCCTCCCCCCTCTCTGCGTTTGCAGGTCCCATCGTTGCTGGGCTGGAGGGAAGGCTTTCCCAGAGGGGCGGGGCGGGGGGAGGCTGCACGTGCTTCCGGTGGCCTCTCCGTCACTCTCCTAACCCGGCTTCTGAGAGAGGACCCCTGACATGTGCTTCCCGCCAGCTATGACACGCCCCCTTCTTCCCGCGCACTGAAGGGAGGGCTGCCTGCCACCCAGCAGACCCTGCATGCCCCGGCGGACCCTGGGCAGCTGCGCCCGGGGCCGGCTCAGCCCCAGGACCCGTCCCGGCCCTTCTGGGTCCTCAAGGTTCATGGGCTCCGCCCCTTCTCCCGGCGTGCGTGCGTGCGTGCGACCGTTCCACCGCCAGTACCGGTGATGGCGCAGCCACACGCTTCACTGACCCCCGAGTGAACGGTGTGCAGGCACCCTTCCCGAGTGGTTCACGTTGCCACTTCCTGCAGTCATGTCCTTGTCCGGGGCTCGGATCTGGCTCTGGGCCTCCTCGCCTTCTCCCAAACCCGCAGACCGCCGAACCTGAGCCCTCTTCTGAGGGGCTCGCGCCCGTGAGTCATTCTGCCGGTGAGTGTACTGCCGTGCGCAAGCCTTCGGCACAGGCAGCTGCCTGGAGCGGGAGCTGGGAGCTGGGAGCTGGGAGCAGGGGGTGAGGCCCGTCTCCCAGGAGCAGAAGGGGCCTCGGGGAGGGTCTGGCAGTGGCTGGCCGAGCCTCCCCTCGGCAGCTGCCTGACCCGCCCACGGAGGCCTCCTCCTCTCCACGGGCCCCCCACAAAGTGCAAGAGCCCCGCACCTGCGCCTGAGACCTCCTGAAGTGAGTGACCTCGAGGCGGGTGGGCTGGGGGAGGTCCAGCCGGCACCATCGTCCTCCAGGAGCCTCCGAAGCACCTGGGGAGACCTTGCCCGGGCCTCCCCCCCCCCCCACCCCCGATGATGCCGAGACGCTGGCCTGTCACGTGGCCCCGGCATCAGGACGTCGCAGGCGCCCCTGGGTGCTTTCCTGGGCAGCCGGGCGGAGAACCCAGAACCTTGGGTCTCCCCCAGACGGCCTCAGAGGGCCCTTGACGGGCATCCCTGACTTTGAGAGTCCCGAGATTCTCCCAGGGAGTGTGTTCGAGGCAGACACCCAGGCTCACCCTCCGGGCGGGGTGACTGGGATCCCGGCGTGGGGCTGGTTGGGGCCAGTGCTTCTCACAAGCCCCGCCCCCCGCAGGAAGTGGGGCT